TCTCAACCGGGTATTGAGTGAAGGTGATGGGTGGGGGAGGGGTGTCAGGAATCTCACAGGAGGCAACAGCGCCATGTGAAGAGAGAGGCTGGCACAGTGGTGTGGCTCTGGATTCCAGGCTGACTACAGGTGAGGTTGTGGGGGTGTGAGCAGACGCTGTGGTGTCGAATCTATTGAAAAACAGATTCAACTCGTTAGCTCTATTCTCACCTCCCTCAGCTCCCCTGCTGTTGGTTGGCCTGAATCCAGTTATGGTCTTCATGCCCCTCCACACCTCTCTCATGCTGTTCTGCTGGAGTTTCCACTCCAGCTTCCTCCTGTAATTGTCCTTAGCCTCTCTGATCTTGTCCTTTAGTAACACCTGGACCATAAAGGTAAACAAAAAAACAAAAACAATAACAGTGTTATCTTCATTTTTTATGTAAAAAAGTCTGTTTTCTTTTCCATGGAAACTGTGTCCAAATGGCTCTTTGGGTGTTAAAGGTTGATAACCCCTGCACTAGAGGAACCCAAATGGAATACAGCTGATTTTCAAGTCAAATCAAAGTTAACTGTATTTTAATGTTTCCTATATGCAGTGCAGCATACAGAGAGACGAGAGGACGAGGCTGCAGGTACATCACAGCAAAAAGGCTAATAAATAGAAATAAAAGAAGTAAGAAATAAATATATGCTTAGGTCTCAGGGGATCAAGACAAGGTACAATTTAGAATTTACAAATTAAATTTGAAGTGGTTTAAAGTAAAAAGTATATCAGATTGATTTTCTTGGGAGTAAAGAAATGTCCATAAAGCAGCATTCGATTTTGACTTTGATTTCAAAGTCTCAATGTTCTTGGGGGGGGGGGCAATTTTGAATGCACTTATTTCTTTTGTTTTGTGGGTTTTTCCCCTGCTGCATTCTGATTGATTGACAATAGTCTAGAGCCAATCTCGTGCATTACCTCCTGTACAGTACAGAATGCGTTCAGCTTGTCAAATTTAGAAAAATCTTTGATCGCTAGCAGTGTGACTCTGAAGTGCTGCACTGTATTTCTGTAAGTTTTCTCCCCAACAAACAACAATGTCAACGAAACATTTTGCAGCATCAAAGGCACGCGGTATTAAATCCATGAAGGTTTTGAATGAAAACAAAAGCTGTTGTGATAGTGATTGTCCTGAATTAAAAAATATTGAGGATGAGAGCGAAGCAACGATGGTCCAGAAGGGTTTGGTCAAACAATGATTTTATTGAACACACGCGCGGGGAGATGAATACTGCACACACTCAGCATAGATCTCCACCCAAAAATACACATACAATTGCTTTTATAATGTCAGGGTTTGACGCCTCTTCACGCATTGCAAGAACACTATTTGATGGTGCCGTTTTTTTTTTACTATGTTGCTCTTTGTTGTTTGCTTTCTCTTCTG